TTATATTTATGGAATATCTTTATCTGTTTATATTATGCTTGAGCATCTTAACGAAATGCATTATTAATTATACTTATACTGGAGGACCAGTTCAACTAAAAATGTATGAGTTGATAGAAATTGTTTATTTTTAATTTCACCTAGATGCAACTTTAACCTACACTCTGGTTTTAAGATTTTAATGTTTAAAACATGCATTTATCAATCACTCAATTGTATTTAGACCTGATTTTTGTGACATCCTAGCTAAAGTCAACAAAGAATATTTGTATTTTGAATTTTTTAAATTTACTATACCAGGAAATTCGCATAGTAAGTGTAAGAACCGCGGTTCCAGAAACCACAAGGTTCGAAGTTTACAATCCAGGTTTCTTGTAACTTTATATTAAGCAGTAGAAATATAAATTTTCACTTGGATCAAATAATTGTTACTAGTAAAAAGCTAAAATATCATCACTATCAATGCTAACGAGTCAAAAATACTAGTTCGAAGTATGCGAAAAGTACCTTTTAATAGCCATCTGTAGAAAAACTAAATTCCTAATGTCTTTATAAAATTACCAGATTGTTAAAAATAAATTAATTAGATTTTTGATGCAGTTTTACAGGAAAATGAATTTAAACTATATTTGAAATTTTACTATTTTACTGCACATGCAATGCAATTAAATATTCAATGATTTAAATAAACTGTACCTATGTACCATGTTCTCCCTTAGAACTCAAAGAATTACATTTTGTCTAGTAAATTCTAATGATAAATACTGAATTCTGAATATGCCGCCAGTTCCATTGATCCGCCTATGCATCCACCCACCTCTCCATTGAGCTGGTCAAACCACATGGTTTCTCCTACTCTATACATTTTATTAATAAAAATTCACAGTAATGTTTATGGTTTTTATAAAATGCATAATCTAACGAGGAATTGCGTGCCAGAGTTAAAATACAAACTTGTTTATTGAAATGACATCATACTAAAAGTAACAGTATTATTACGATGTTTATGAAATTACACTATGAGTGCGTCATTATGTATTTGATTATTGCTCGTGACCTGGTTGTACCACTTTCATTTTTTTCGTTACGAGGATGGAAATATGTAATTGTATGCCATTTTCAGAGATGAATTGATTTAAGTCTATATAATCTATAAATTATAGATACAATTTCATTAATTTTATCTTTATAATAAAAAGTTTGCAGAATTATAATCTTCTGATTGCAAAGTTTTAGTTTATTTGATATGATAGCTAGGTTGTAGTTTTCAACCTGGGGGCACAACGTTTCTGGGGAGCATTTGATTCTTTTATTTTATAAATAAGCCAAAAACTTTAAAATTATATTAAAAATCAATTATAAAATAATTATTTTTATGTATATATTTTGGTATAATATTCTATATCAATTTGTTGAGTAATTATACAAATAAATTATTAGGGGCAAAAGATTGATAATAACTGAGCTAGTATAAAAAAAGGTGAGCTTTATTCACGTTAGAATTTTATCCAAAGTATAACATTAAAAACGTAACAGTTCGTGAAAGTGACATAATAATGTTATGTTTACCGAAGTAACTCATTAAAATGATGTACAAATTTTCAAGCATAAATAAATTAAATGATATATTTTAAACATTTCCAACTGACAATAAATAATTATAAAGAGACTTTAAAAAATGTACAATTGACAATGATTTATTACGAAAAGTAAAGATACGTTGACAAATGCAAAGCTAAATTATTTTTTACAGTATACATTATATCTAAACACTTATGAATATATAAATAAATAATTATATGTGTTTATTAATTTAATTGAAGTCGATATAGCCCAAATTTTTGCATGTTTACTCTAATATTTAAATTATACTTTTTTTCTTTCAAAATTATAAATATACTATACAAAAAATTAGTTACTTGATTATTACTGTTACTTTATACTTAATACTTTTAATTTTAACTGTAATTCCACGTCTTTGTTTTTAATTCAAATATTGGTTGGATTCTCTTAGTTGAAACGTCTGATAAAACTGATTCTTCTATTTATATTACAATAACAGACCAGTGATTGTTATTATTATTGAATTATTAATGAAATATTTTAATGTTTAAGTAATTAAATCAATACGTTGTAACGGCAAGACAACTTTGTTTAATGTTAAGCCAGGCTTTTATGCATATGCGTTAAATAACACAGGATACGTTATTTGACATTGCGTATGCGCGCCTGGAAATGAATGCGTATTGCGGTCTACACAGATTCTCAATAGAAACTGGAAAGCCCATATTCAAAAATAATTTAAACTAGTGGGGTGGGTGGCATCGTGCCTTAAGGCAAATTGCTGGAACTTTCCGTACCGTAACGAAATGTTCGAGGAATATTGAATGTTTTCAAATAGATTATTATAAATATTGTAACATTGTCTAATATTTATAAGAATTAACTGAATTAACTGAATTGCAGAGTTGAATTATTTGTTTAAAGTATATTAGAACTATAGTCAGAATTAAAAATAAAATCTGAATTATTTTCGATATACAAAAAATTTAAAAAATTTAAAAAAAAAAAAAAAAAAAAGGAATGGTACAAATTTTTTTTTTCCAAAATCAATTATTTTGTTAAGACAAGCAGAAAGTCCTTTGAATCAATTGAATCGGACGCTTAATTCTCTCAAAAACTGCCATTTTTTGTACATTTAGCTCTGTATCTCCGAAATGGCTGGGCCTGCCTTTGCGAAAAACTAATAACCCCTTCTCCCAATCATTACTAATTGAATGTTTTTTAGATCATTCAAATCGGATGCTCCTTCTCTCAAAAACTCGATTTCTATTTTCTGCACTCTTTGCTCCTTATCTCCGTAACTGCTGGACCTGCCTTTGCCAAAAACTAATCAGCTCTTCTCCTTATCAATAGGAATCAAATGTTTTTTAAATTATTGAAATTGGTTAATCCGTACGCCCGAAAACGTGGGCGAAAATTTGTATCCATACATACATACACACACACACACACACACACATCCATTTTTTCTGAGGTATGCCAAAACGTTCAGAAACCTTCAAAACGTCGAGAAATGTAAAAATTTTCAATTCCGATTTTTGGCCCATTACAATAACTTACCCTATGGGAAGTTAATTAAAAATCTCAAAAAACATATGGTTTTAATAATAATTTAATTTGTTTTATTAGTTTATAATCTCAAACTGATTCTATGATTTTTATTATCATTTGTTCAGATAATTGTATATATTTAATATAATCTAAATCTATGTATTAATCTAATGATTAATATAATGTAAATCTATGTGATTATGTAGATTCTATATTCTATATTACATTCTATTATTAGAATTAGATTATATTAGAATTAGATTCTAATCGATTTTAAAAACTTATAACCATTATTATCTTTCACTTGTTTTGTTTAAAAAATCTTTCTCTTCTAAACTTTATATGATTATGATAATAAATTACTTACATTCGTAATCTTACATTTTTAATAATTTTTAATAAAAGAACAATAATAGTAAAGCGTATAATGAAATATCTGAAAGCAAATCAAGCTTTTAGTACCCTTGTTTGTGGATTTTGTTTCTCTAAATTTCTAAAAAGTGACTCAAGTGAATGAAAATTTATTTAAAAAATTAAATTAATTAGTTTTTTTAACTAATTTTTATTTTTAATTGTAGATCTTTGAATAACTAAAAAACATATATTAAACACACTATTATATATTTGAGCGAGAGAAAGCTATTTGAATTGATTGTAAGCGAAAGCTCTATCAAATTAAGTTTTTTAAGAATTTTTAATTTTTTACTCGTCTTTTTTAGTATGAAATTACCATGTATTGAACCATTTTACAATCCTAAACTTTAATACATTTTAATAAAGGATGGCTTTTCAAAATCGATTTTGAAAATATTAAATTCATAGTTTAACAGATAGTCTTAATTTTCAAAAACTCAATATTATCATTACTGTGGTCTTAGAGTTACGGTTTCACACATATAAAATGATAAAATTTTATAATTTTATTTTATTTTAAAGTATAAAAAAAATAAAAATGTATTTCATGCAATTTGAAAGTTATGAGCTTTCAAGTACAACGTAGAGCTTTAGTCAAAATTTGACCAGTTTTTGGGTATTAATAATAATCGATTGACAAAGCTTTGGTCAAAGTTTGTCTTAAAGCTTTCGTTGAACTTAAAAGCTCATAACTATCAAACTGTATAAAACATTTTTTTAATTTTTTTTATGATAGTTATAATGATCACAGCCCCTTTTGTGTTTGACGTTAAAACACACTATATATATAGTCTTCTGCTTTAATTTTTATATTCCAAATATGGTTATTATTTAATATTGAATATTTCATTAATTTCAACATTTCATAATATAATATGTATATTTGTTTTTAACCTGGATAATATTTTTGTATATATGTGATTGTTTAAATTTTTCATTTTATTAATATTTTCTTTACTTTTCCATGATGAACATCAACAAATTTGTGGTCGCTCTTAAAAATGTCTAAATCGAATTCCAAACCAGGTATCGGTTGTCTAAGTTTGATTGACATTAATTTTCAGAAATACTGTCTATCTTCATTTGGTTTTTTGTCGAAAAAATCGAGATATTAATTTCTTTTGGTAAAAATGTTGAGTATTATAGGAACCTTCATCACAATTCGTATGTGTAAATGCATCGGTTGCGTGTAACCCACACATAGCCAAAAAACTTTATTCATATGTACTATACTATAATTCACTACTGAAGACTACGCGCGAACGCAGAAACTAGTAGTCGCTTCAAAGTCTCCGAAGGGAGCACACGCGTTCAATTTTCCGGCAAAATTGTGTGGTCAATTTGCGAATATAATGTAATTGCAAAAAAAAAAAATTAAAAATAGCGATATTTATTTAAACTAGGCTAGTAGAGCTAAATTAGTGAAAGTTAAATTTTAATGTAATCAAGTGGCTTATTAATTTAAATACTTAAACTCATTTACTTATTGTGTTCAAAATTCTTGTGTTCATCAGCTTTGCTTAATTGTTGTGTTCGAAATGGTATTTTATATTCCAACATATTTTCTTTCATATATGCATTTTCTTATTTGTATAAATTAATTTTTTATGAAGTATCAATAATCCGAATTAAATAATTTATTTTTTTTTATTTTATTTTATTAATTCTTTTTATTATTTTAAACTTTATTAATTTGCTTTAAAAAAATAAAAATCTTTTGTCCTTAATTTTAATTTCAAAATCAGTATTATTTGTAAATTCATATATTATTAAGTTTCGAAATGTTGTGTTGTAATGCTTACTTTCGGCTAAATTTCATATAAATAGTGCATCAACTACTAATTTGTGAAATTTATCAAACATTCGAAATGGTTTTTCTTATATAGATATTTATTTTATTTGTCCAAAAATATAGCAATGGTTCTATCAATATTAGAAAGAGAAATTCATTTTTTAGTTTGGTATATGTAGATGTAAGTAGTTTTAAAAAATTTCTAACCATTTTATAAACATATATATAATGTTTTCTTATTCGCGATAAGCCAAAATTTATTGCTCTCAAAATAATTGAAATAATCGATTTAATTTGCTCAGAGATTGCCAAATAAATACTGCAATACAAAATGCAAAGCAACTAGTGACACTATATTGACGTAGTCTTTTTTTGTTTTCAATTTTGTATATTAAATTTGAATATTAAATTTGTATTTTATTAGTATGTTAAATTAGTATGTTAATTAGTATGTTAAATAGTATTTTAAATATTTATTTTAAATTTGTCCAGATCGCAGTGTTAACAAATGTGTGTGTTAAACGTGATGAAATTAATAAAAACGTTGACTGAAATGTGCGAAAATTCGCCAATTATGTGAAATGTGTCATAAAAACCGACTTACAAATATTGATCTGCACACAAATAGTATTAAAAAGTTCTAGTGATCTTAGTCAATAGTTTTTAACATAGGATATAAAACAATCAACATGTCTGGCGGATATATAAATCAAGGTATGAAAATAATTTATTGTTGTTAATAACATAGCTTTAGATATGCTTATTAATTAAACATTGCATGTAACCGAGCGAATTTATATTAGGTTTACTTTATCATAAATAATTCTCATAAAATATGAATTATTTTAAAGCAAACAGAAGTTTGTTGTAATTTTTTTTTATAGAAAAACATGCGATTGAATTTAAGGTTTTGTTGGAATATATCAACAAAATAATTCTAACATAAGATTAATGGCTATACGATATATATATCAGTAATTAATTTAACATACTTCAAAATATGTGAATACAAGCTACTTGTATTTATTTTATTGCAAAAATTTATTTATATTTATTAATTATGAGAACTAGATGTTACCATTTTAATAAATTCGTGGATTATTGTTCTATATAACATCTACTGTATTGATATTGATAACTAAACAAATCTTATTAAAAAAGGAGCTTTCTGCATTACACAAATAGCATTTACTTTTTTTCAATTTTAAACTGAAACTATATAATATATAATAATTGCAAAATTGCTAAATTTAAAAGATGTATAAGTTGATATTATTTAAAAATGATTTTGCAGGAATGAAGTTTATGTTAAAATATGAATTAATTGTTAATATTGATTATTGAAACTTGAGTTTTTATTGCAATTGAATTTTGCAGTGGCATGAAGTTTTGTTATATTTTTTTGATTTTTTATGTGTTAATTTACTCAAATGTAAAATATGTTTATCTTAAATCATACTATTTATACTTTTATTTAAATTATACTATAATATACTATTTTAAATTATATTTTTATAACTTTTTTGTCTTTATAATTTATCAATTCCAAGGAATTTCAACTGATTGAGCCTTATTATTTTATATTATGTGCTTTTATTGAAATTTTCATTATGTTTGAACAACGTTTTTTGCAAAAAGCCTGTTTTCTTCAATTTTAACGTTTGTAAAACTGTTAGTTTTAAAAGTTACTTATTATTTTCTTTATAATTGAATCATATTTTTTTAAAACTCAATTTTTCTCAAAATATGATGAACTTAGTTCAAAGCACTATTTGATAGGCTTTTATTTGAAAATATCAAACAGGTAAATATAAATACTTACAATTAGGTACATTTTTCTATAAACTGGTTTATATAGACTCTATATTATAGAGAGTAATCCCATGTTGAATATTCTTTCTTTTCGGAATTAATATAATAAATGATAAAATTAACGAGCGTTTCGTAATAACAGTAATTATATTTGATTTACTTAGTTGTTGTTTTTGTTTTTGTTTTATATTCATTATGCAAATTTTCGCCGGTATATTATTTTAAAAACCTATGTAATAAGTAAAGTTTTCAATAACAATATTCGTACCTTTAAATACCTATTATAAATATTTCTTCCATATGAAATTGCATAAGCAATTAAAATTTTAATATCACAAGTTTTATATTTTTGATTAATTAACTTTGATTCCATTATACCAGAACGAAGTATTTAATGTTGGTTTTAATTAATCAAATACATCTTGATTTCATTTTTTTTATTTTAACAAAGTATTTAGTACAATAGGCAGAAGAAAAATATCTCTCTTATAGATTCATTTAATCTTTTAAATTAAAAATAAATAAATACATATATACCCAGAATTTGATACTTCATGATATATGCATTTTGATATGAGATTTAGTTCTTTTAACAACTTGACACCTTTTATTGAGACGAAATTTAACTAATTAATTCATCTTAGCAGCTTACCTTTTTCATTTCTTTCATTTGCATTTTTTTCAGTATATTTTTAGCGCTATTTTTTTTCAAGTCATTTCTATTCTAAGTTATATCTCATTTAAAATGAATGACATGTAATACTCCATCTATATTTATACGACATATTATTTATATGCTAATTTTGTGATTACGAATTCTAAAAATATATTAAGATTTTTATGGTTCTCAATGGTTTGTAGTTTACGATATCGTAAGTAATTAAATTAGTTTGGCATTGGAACTTGATTTAAAACTAATTGATAGGAAACAGACTTTGCTTGCTGAAGTTTCATTGCCCTTTTGTTTGGTTCTGTAATGTAAATATTTTAAATTTATTATATTCGCTTGGTAAAATACTTTTCTTATCATTACAAGCATCCGAAGAAGCACAAGGTGAGTTGGATTTATAATTTATTGTTGCGGAACGAATGTGACAAATGAAATGGAAAAAATGTTAAAAAATATAAATGAGCTATGTGTATTTTAGTTGAATATTGAATAGATGTATCCAAAAGTATTTTCACTGACTCTAGAATTTACATGTAACTCTAGATTTTTTGTATAAAATGAACAATTCTATTCTGAAAAAGTCAGGACATTTATTTCTGATTTATTACTCAAAATATTCTGATGGGGAACCATACTTTGGGCATAACTTTTCACTATGATTACTATATATTTCCCTGTAATTTCTTTATAATTGATAATACAGCAAATTTAAATTAGGCACCGCGTTATTCTGAATGAAATCAAAATAAGTTTGTATTTGTCTTAACTTTATTACATATTTTTTTTATTCTTTTTTAGTTTTTTTTTGAGAACTTTGTGAATGTTATAAACAAAATTCCTTTTGTCCCCTAAAAATTTTGAAAACTTTGTATGGATTTTTGACCGACTATTAGTTCTAGACCTTCAATTTATAAAATATTATTCAATAATTTAAAAGTTTTGGTTCAGAAGAAGCATTACATTTTACTGGCCGACTGAAAAAGTGATAAAAATGAACAAATAAACGATTATACTTCAAATATAATTAATAATATAATTTGTATATCATTAATAAAAATCGTATAAATTATATAATAAATAAATTTAATACGTAAAGTAAATATGATCTGTTACATTTTTCAAATTCATAAAAATATTGGACCTTGTCTATTATGTGTTGAGAAAAGTATTGTGGCAACATCATATTGTAAATTGTATTCAAATTAACATTCTTATCTTGCAATACAACACTTCTTCATGTAATTATTTATAAATGACATGAGTCTGATTATAGATTATTAATAGTTTGAATAAATAAATATTCATAATAAATTTAAAACCATGCAGAGATTATATTTTTAATAAATGTAACAATATTTTGATCTTAAAACGCAAATGGGAAAAGTAGGGAAATAGTAAAAATAGAAAAAACAGTCCAAAGAAATATTAAAAATTTCTGACATATTACATATGATTCATCTACATTGCAAAATTGGTTAATTTGATATTTTACCAAAATATTCCTATTTCAAACATGAAATCTGTTTTAATTAATTTTTTATTGGAATTAATTAATAATTTAATTCCAATCCTCAATTCGAAATCCTTTGCTATATTTAGAATTGTTGTGAAATACATCAGCGCCCGCAAAGAAATAAGTTTGCTATGAAATATGTATTTAATTAATTTTCAAAACAAATAACGTTTCGTACGTGCTTCAGCTGAAATACTTAAAATAATTTTATTTCTATAGTCATTTGTTCCAAACATATACGAGAGTTTCATGCACGAGAAAAAGTCAAACAACATATGCTCCACACCTGTCGTTTCGTATATTTTGCAATTCTTATATTCCTAATTATTTTATGTTCATGCTTATGTTTGGCGATAATTATATTTACTCAGACTAAAAACATGTGATCCACATAAAAAAACAAAGTCATTGCAATCGTGATAAAAAATCATTCAAGAGTCAAGTTCTAGGTCATTCTAATAAAAGTTATCGATTTTTTGTTTACTTGCTTGAGTCTCGTACGTTGCACTGTTGCAAATAATTTTTATAGAAACATTTATTTATGTAACTGGACAAATGTATTCTCTTTACAAAATTATCTCGAGTAGAGTATTGCATACTTATTTTTTACATGATAAAGTTTATTTTTATTTCAACATAATGCATAAATTTAACTATATTTCAACATTAGTTCTTAGTTTTTCTTTGGCCAATTTGTTTTATTTTAAACAATTTTCCACAAAATGAAAACTGGATATCTGAAGCGTTTATAGATTTTTTAGGTAAATTCACATAAAGACGAAGTTCTCGTATGTTTCAAAAAATATAATCTACAAAAGCTTATTACACACATATATAAATGTGTGTATCAGTTTTCAGACAAAAATCTAATTTCACACTTTGTTAAAACTATTTTACTCTTTATGTCATCATGCATACAATTTAGTTATATTTGCACACACAGAATATATATTTTAAATAATGTAAATATTAGACTCTCATACCTTGTTAAAAAAATCATTTTTGCTGAATTTTTTCTTCATATGCAAATAACATTTTACTTGAGATTTTAATAGTTTGAATATCGTTCATATTATTAAAAATAATTAGTTTAATTATTGATGGGCGTCAATTTGTTATATTATTTATTACGACTTTTTATCTTGTCTTGTATAATTAAAACGCTGAGGTTGGCTAAGATTTATTTATATAAATTATGATTAAACAATTCTTGGTAATCTTTGTGAATATAAATAAATATAGATAAAATTATTTGTCTCATAAATATTTAGAAATAATTCAAACATTTGATAAAATGCATTTTATTCAAATACTCACACACACACACACACACACATATATATATATATATATATATATATATATATATATGCACATTTATAAATTAGACATTGTAAGCCCTTTAGATTCGGTTGGCTGTTTAATGAATCTTAATGGCTAACTAATTAAGCTACGGAATAAATCATAAATAACGGTTGATTTTTATAAATTATAATTTTACAGTTACAGTTAACAAACAGAATTTTGAATTATTTAAATACAGAAGGATTTGATAAATTTAACTTAAACGTTTTAATCTTTTATAAATTTAATTTGAATACTATGAAAAAGCATACTATTTATATCTTCTGTTTGTAATTCGTGTAAAAGCCTGAACACCAATATTATAAGTATAATTCATATTTTTACTATAGTCATTAAACAATAAAATCACAAGTA